CTGTCAGTTCTTTGCCTGGGATGAGGCCTTGTCCTGTTATTGGCGTGGCCAGTGGCTGCCCTTTCACCACAGGCACTGGCTTTCAATCTTCACTCGTTTTGAGCGAAGGTCCCCAGAAAACCGATGGTAGTTCACACAGCTGTTGTCCCGTTTTCAGAGCTTTTGTATGGTAACTTGGCGCATTTGGTTGAATGTTCTTAGCCTCAAAAACTGTGCTGGTAGATGCTGGTGAAGCCGGGTTCGGGGCTTCAGGATGTCGGCCGGCTGCAAGACACTGGAACTTGAGCAGACAACCAGCAGGGAAGAGAGGGTTTGCCGGAGGCATATATTTACACGCCTGTGTGGTCCCATGAAGAAACCACCACATGTACAACACATCCACCCCAACTACAAACCTGATGTTGATTGATTTTGCATAGGATGCTTTTCTATTTTCCCTATGGGTGCACCCCCTTCTGAGGAATATGTGTCCCGGTTCCTTAAGCAGATTACGATGGCGCTTTGATTGTGATTTGGGTGATTTAATATAGATGTATTTAACAATAATAAACAAACACAACAATGATATATAAACACTTATAATACATGTACTATATATTTTTTAGGATATTGTTTTGCAGATTTTAGGTTTAATCAGGGAATGGAAACCAGATTTATTTGGCCACTGTTTCTTTGTCAAATTTGAGGTATGTTTTGTTGTGCATTCCATTGCTCTCAACCTCGCTGGAGAGAAAGAAATAAACCCAATCAGCAACGTACTGTCGTACAGTAACTGAGGGGTCAGGTTCTCAGGCAAAATCGGAATGGTCTGCCCATTTTGCGCCACTCGCTGTAGGAGCTGCTGGCACAGGACTTGCTGGGCTCTCATTCGGGTTGGGTAGGAGCTGAGGAGGGATTCCTCCGCTCAGTCACGCAGCCGAGCTGCAGGCCTTTTTCTCCTAGATTGAAAGAGGGGATTGTTCTTATCTTTGCTCCAGCAGTTACTTTTTCATGGTCAAACTGAGATTGGGAGATGTTGGCCGTTCCGATCGCACCATCCATGCATATCCCCACTCCTGACGGGGGTCCAGGTGTTTCTGTTTTTCAACTTCAAGGTTGTCCTTGACACCCATGGAATATGCAATCAACAAACCACAGGCCGTCGTTGGTGGAGTCGAATGGCATCATCTTAAGAGAGTCGTATGCTGACCTCCGTTGAGGCGCTTGTCGTACGTGCCTAGATAGGCATGTCATGATGCTGGCCAGGAGGCAGCAGCTCGCAAGGCTGCCAAGGCCTGGGCATTTGAGTGGCTTAGTCTGGAAATCATTGCTGGCTTCATGTGCTTGAGCAATGCCAAGTGAATCATACATATAAGCCAACCCATATAGCATCAGGTATAGCTCCGAGGAGGAAGACATGACATGGACCTGGATTCATCTTGGAAACGTTTTTCCTCGTAGGCATCCCAGGGAATCAAAGACTTAAAGACCCACTAATAGGAATGGTTTGACTAGCTGGCCCGAAGTTCGGAGTGTTTTGCATCCACTTTGGTGGATGCCAAACAAAGTGGAACTGGACTCTCTAGGGGGGTGATAATCTTAAATGGTAGCTCAGGCTCAGAATGAGGGTGAAAAGATGGTGAAAGCACAAAGACTTTGCATGCTATTCGCCAGTGCCACCTCGGACCCTCGTAACAGGATCTGCCAAGAGCTGAAGAGCGGTGTTCCACGCACTCGGAGTCACTTCGCATGAACAAAGCAAAGGGGAGAGGGCAGCACTTCGATGCATGTTTTTGTGTTGGCTTCCTTGATCTTTGCCATTGTGGCTTCGAACGCCCACGTGTTCGGCAGGGCTGCTTTATGACCATCGAGGGCAAGAAGTGCGCTGGGGCAAATTTGGAAATGCGCGCAGGTCACCATCAACTGCATGTTCACCATCAAAGCCTGGCATTTGTGGGTGAACACGTTGCCACGTTCATGTTTTTTCAGACATGTAGAGTTTTCGCCTTGGTGCCTCATGCGCTTGGCTATACATAATATGAGTGCATGGGCTATGTAGTATGTAGTATGGCAACAGTGGCAAAACAATGAAGTGTTGTGACTTGTTTGCCTATCTTGTGACAACATGTCGATGTGACAACAAAATTTGCCAGCTGCCCTTCATGTCCAGCTGGTTCTTTTTTGTTCCAGCTGGGGGTTGTTCAGCAACGCAAATCCAAGTCATCATACACCAAGCTGCAGCAGCGCCGCGCCTTCGGCATCCATCATCCGAGTGGACAATCGTGGTTGCTTCGCAGGTACGATGCATCATCCTTTGTCAATAAGCATCCTGGAGGGCCAGTGTTTCTTGCAAAGGCCAGGTGCGACGGTCTGTCCTTCCCCAGACCATCCATGGGACTGGAATAGTTACCCACATGGGGGTCATGTTCATGGGGTAAATAAATAAATATATATATATATATTATACCATCAGTCCAGGACTGTCTAAGGGGCTTCTATTCATAACCCCCTAAGAGGTCAAGGGGAATCCATTAATCACCCCTTGTGGGTCCTGGTGTCAAATGGTGTGTATATATATATATAAAACTATATCTAAAACTATTCAGGTCCCATGCATGACTCCAGCCCATGCATGACGCCCTTTGGAGGAATCCTCGCCGACCTGATCAGGCCTGTTGTACCGATGCCACCGAGCAGTTCCAGGCAGTGAAGGGGGACATTCTTGTTTTTCTCTGCCCGAGACGGACGCCAAGTGGTGCCGAGCTGGGCGGTGATTCTCCAAGGTGCTTCCTGGTGACAACTAGTGCCCAGAAACCACCTGTTAGGGTCTCTAAACAGCCAGTTGGAGGGTCCTGGTAGTTGATACTGTACACATCCAACGATCCACTGCCACCGTACCTCAGGTTTGGTACGACTGGGCCCCAGCCTACAGAAGCTATTTCTCCCTGCGGATCCATGCCTCAGAAGGTATGTGTATTCGGCATTGGTACACCCTCCGATGTCCTTCACACCTTCGGGGCGTTCAGCCGAATGCCTGGAACCCGAAGCTCAGAACAGATTTCTACAGTCTATCGAATGTTGATTTGGGCCTTTGCAGGGCAGCTGTGAGGTTTGAAAACATGTTCCCTCCCCAACCAATTCCGTGGGGTTCATGTTGCTGCCATCCTGAGGGATCAGATGCTTTTGAGGTATCATCATCATCATCATCATCATCATCATCATCATCATCATCATCAT